TTTTTTTTTTTTTCACCTAAACCAATGTCAGGATTTATGCATTTTATTACATTTTAATTGGCATGCAATGTATTTACTCATTATTTATTACTAATTTACAGTTATATTTGTGTTTTACTGAGCTCTACATGTGTCTGTGCACACATATAGTTGAAAACCTATGTAACATTAGTATTGCACTGCAAAATTACATCTTTGTCTTTATAGCTGACTTAATTTCCTTTCATGCAAGTCAGTGTATAAACAAGTTAACCAGTCAGATCACAATATTTTGGTTCTTGCCACCTCTGTAAGACTCTAAACTATAAAAGACTATAAAGACTATAAACTACAAATGGGACTAAATAACTCTCAGATCTTAGTCTTTTTTTCCGTATAATCAGTATAATATTATACATTGTTCTCTCCAGGATATTTTCTAGGAATTTATTAGAAAATTACATAGTGTGTTTTGTATGTCAAGTCTTTCTGAGGAGCCTCCTGTCCTCTCTGGCATCCTCACACTGGACATTAATGTGTAATTTCTGCTGTTTTTGTCTTCCCACCCCTTCTCAGTTCTGCATCGATGCTATGGCAACAGCCCTCTGCGACTGCCACAGAACCACCATGTGGAGGACGAGGTCATCAACAGCTCGACCGTCCTCTCTACCTCTCGACACACCTCTGACATCAGGTACTGTCCACACCTCCAACAGCTTTCTTTTCCACTGTTCACACTAAGTCTGGTATACACAATCCTAGAAAGAGATAGAAAGGAACATTTTGAGCGTCTCTCTTTGATCTCATGACTTCTTTGCCCTCAAACCACTGGCCATACTATTAGCTGATGAAAAGAGAACCTTTGAATCATTGCAAACCTCAGAGACTGCCGTCATCTCTATCCTTTCTTCCTTTGCCCCTTCCTTGAACCCATTCTTTGCTGGAAGCACACTGGCTGCCTCCGTTTCAGCTGGTTGCATCACCCAGCAGCATCTGCTGTAAGCATGGACAGGGTTAGCTGAGGGAACAAAGCCATCCGCCTTAAACAGAGTGTCTCTGTGATGCCCAAATACAATATACTGGGATTAGAAACAGACTTATAATTCTTATATTTTATTTGTGCCGTTTTTCTGTCAGCTCTCAGAAGGAGGAGGATGGAGAGAGGAGGAAGAAACAGAGGACCTTTCAATTTGGCTATGCTGAGCTTCCACGTTACACAGCTCTGGATGCAGTGGGATGGGTATGGGTTTTTTTGTTTCCTTTTCAAATGTAAAAGACCTGATACAATTACCAGTATGTGCAATATGACTTTCTGAATGTTCATCACAGTTTTTCTTTAAAGAAAGAAGTCACGCAGCTGCTCACTGAGGGATTAAACAGTCTCTGGACTGATGAGACAAATACTGCCTGATGGCCTGTCTTTCATGTTCTATTTGACAGCTAATTAGTATTAAATAGATTTAGAGTAAATTGTGATCAGAATAACCAACTTCAGCTCTTGTGAGAAAAAGAACAGCCACTAGAACAACCAGTCCTTCAAACATCATCTCTGCTGCACACAAAGCCGAGCTGGTTCTCCCACTCACTTCTCTATGTAATACTCCAAGTGCTGTGTATTTAACACAATCATACACTTGACTCTCAAAACTAAATACTTTACTTTAAATACTACTGAACTAGCAAATTCATTCCTTTAGCACCACCTAGTGGTGTCACTTGATAACTGCTTTTAATGTACACAACAGAGGTGACCAACAGTCTGAAGGTTTTCATCCTAACCAGTCTCACTCAGATGTTGCCACAACTAGGTTACTACAGTTGTAAATGTGTCATCTAATTACCTTCAGAGCCTGATATCTATTCATAGAGGGGTTTCCCTGCATAGAGAATTGTCAAAGGGGGCCACCTCCGTGTGTCTTCATGGAAAACACTATTTTCTAACAAGCGTTGCACTTGGTGGACATTGGCAGTACCTCAATGTGGTGGCGGCAAATGATTGGGGTTTGATCTAAAAATACAAAGAAATTAAGTTTTTGTATTTGTCATACACTGTAAAACAGGGGTACAATATAACTCAGGATGCATTCTTAAAGGGTTAAAATTACATTCTTCATTTCACCTGGACTTTAGTAAAATATGATTTATATAAAAAATATATGTGATATATAAAATATATTAAATAGAATTGTCATTTTCTCATATAATTAGTAGAACACCTAAAATATATTGCTTGTTCTCCACAGGGTGCTGCAGCAGTTCTGTTCATGCAGTTCTGTAAGAGGATCCACTCCCGGCTCTCTTCAGGGTCTGAGCCGAGTCCGATCCCTGGTGCCCGGACAGCACCCTCCACCCTACACAAATGTGGCTACCGCATCCTGCTGGATATCTGTGAGTCCTTATCAGATTATTATTATTAGATAACTGAGCCCACTAGTCCCACCGATGGTTCACCATTATTATATCAGCTGATGAAACCCATTACAAAGATAGTTCTACACAGCAGACCATCTCACCCCTTTTTCCTTTTAACCTCGGGTGATCAGAATCCTGACTTTGTTCTGTTGCGTCTGTCTGTGATCTCCAGTGCCCAAACGTGATGTCCTGCCCAGAGGAAGGAGTGTGTTGTGTCTGCAGGGGGTGCCAGAGAGTCAGAACCAGGATCAGTCCCTGTCTCAGAGCAGCAGCAGCAGCAGCAGCAACAGCAGCAGCAGTGCAGGTGACACCAGTCTTCACAGCAGTAGTGAGCAGGACTATCTGACTTCTGCCATCTCTGACCCACAGAGGGCACTCCTGCACCAGGATTCATCTATACCCGGTTTGTACTGTACGGTGCTATTCATAGTTGTCAAAAACAACTTTTTAAAATTAATATTTTATTAACCAAGTAATTTAGGAGCAGGAAACTAAGATCTTTTCCTTCCTCACTCACAGAGGAATCACTTCTGTCAGCGTCCTGTCCTCTGCAGAATGATGCCAGCCAAGACAACACAAAGACAACAGATGCTAATGACAAGGTGGGAGACTCCTTTACTTTATGTCAAGTTTATTTTTAAGAAAGCATTTATTTATCTTTACAAAGGACTGACTGACTTTTTTTTTTTAATCCTCTTCATTTTCAGGACATGTTGTCGAGTGAGGAGAGGCTGGCAGGAGCAGCACTGAACCTCAGACATGTGGGAGACACCAGTGTTCCTGTTATCCTCAACATCATTGGTAATGACTTACTGACAAAGTCACACACCAAATCATTATCACACATTTATACTCAAGACAATCCATTTTTACACAAACCAAATGTCATATGTTCTTCCTTTTACAAAGTATTTGAGCTAAATTAACCCTAATAAGTTTGTTCCTCCATTCATAGCTAATATCTTCATCTCTCTGTTTATGGCAGGTCTAGAAAGTGCCAAGGGTGAGAACTACGAGGAAGCTTTTATATGTTTTGTTGCTGCAGCTCGGCAGGGTTACAGCAAAGCCCAGTTTAACTTGGGTGTGTGCTACGAGAAAGGCAGAGGAGTCAGCAAGGACAAAGAGAAGGTGAGACTCCAGGCAGCACAGTTTAGTCTCTGCATGCTTCATCATTCTGAAGATCCTCGTACTTACTCTTCTACAACGAAAGGAATCAGTCTTGAGATGATTCTCGTGTGTTTTCTTTTCAAGGCTCTGTATTACTACTGGCAGGCAGCAGCTGGGGGTCACAGACAGGCTCAGTACCGCTATGCAAAGCTGCTCATGACCAGCAGGGGGCACCAGAGTTTAGAGGAGCTGAACGCAGCCATCAGCTTATTGGAACAGGCTGCTGCAGCTGGACTCACCAAGGTAGAAATCATGACATAATCTTAGTTCTTGCATAGAATACCTTTAGCAACTGTAGTGCAAATACATTCAACTTCTGTTTAACAATATTATAATAATAAATTTCCAACACTGTTTTATTACATTATCTTTATTATGAGATATTACACTGTAATACCACTGCTCATTTAAGAACTTATCTACATACTTCACAGGAGACACTTTGACATGTCACAGTAATGTTACAGAATGTTACAGCCCAAGATGACAATTACAAATTACTTGTTTAGTTCAGCAAACGGTACAAAACCTTCAGTAATTTAAAATCTTTGTAGTGAATCTTTGACATTTTTGCTTAAAAAACAACTGACAGTATGTACTGATTATTTTTCTGTCAGTCGACTAATTGATTAATGGAGTAATCTCCTCAGCTCTATTTCTCTCTGTCATTTAGTGGAATGGTTATTGAAACCAAATGCATCCAGGATGCTTGTACGAATGGTCACAAATGAAAATCAAATCACTGAAAACGACATCTCATATCTATTTGCCATGCTGGGTTACAGTGTGTGTGTGTGTGTGTCATTTGATACTGGTGTATTCTTACAGAAGTGAACCAACTCTGTTTCTCTCCCTCTGCAGGCTCAGGTCTGCCTGGCCTCGGTCTACTCTCACGAGCTAGTGAGAGACGGGAGCAAGTCAGTCCAGTACCTGAAGATGGCAGCAGAGAGCGGAGTATATGTGTCCTTCTAGAATGCTTCTAGAGTTTTATTTATGGCTTAAACGCTCAGTGTTTCACCTCCCCCTCCCACCTGTACAACCCCCCCCCCCCCCCATTTCCATGCCTACCTGTCTGTGCACAAATGCCACAAACACAAGTTCTTGTACATTACAGAATATTGTTCTTGAAATTGAAAAGGCCAAAATCATGTTTGTTTTTTTTTCTTCACGTGCGCAGGACGACACTGCCCTGCTGTTCCTGGGTCAGTGTTTTGAGAGCGGCTTTGGTGTGCAGCAGAATCTGAGGACAGCAATTGAATACTACAAACGAGCCGCTCGAGCTGGCAACAAGCAGGCTAAGAGCTTACTGACGCCTCCTAATGACATGCTTAAGGGTAATCACACACTGATATTAGTCATTAGATTTTGTGCATTTGTTAGTGATGGCACTGCATGTGATGAGCATTTAATGAGCCAAGACAAAAGTGATAATATCTGTGAGAATGAGCAATTTCTCCTGTCTCCCCTTCCTCTTCAGCAGAAGAAGCAGTGCTGCGCTCCATCCGTTCAGCTCCATGTTTCTCTGTAGCCGATCATCGGCTCCAGCAGCCGCTCTCCTCTCTGGCCAGTTGCATTGCTCCCTCCACCGGTCACCCCGTGGCCCTTCCCCTCCTGCCTCACTCCTGGAGCACCGGGAACTTGTGTGTCCCCCCCACGCTGTCTACCACGCATCTTCACCTCCATCCACAAAGTGCTGAGGGAGGAACCTGCCAGTGGACTGTAGGGATAGGATAGTTGACCTTTGGCACAGGCCAAACTGAGAAATGTGTTTTATGTGAATGTATTTTCACCAGAGGAGAATGGTCAGTGTGTTTTAGGTGTGTACATAATTGTGAATCAAAATAAGTGGGTTTTTTATAAGTCTGAAAGAGTTGTTGGATACAAAGTCTTACAATATTAGTGTAGAATGACATGGAAGCTTTTTTTTATTATTTGTTTCTATACAGTACAGTGTTTTCAGTGAAATAAGTTCTCCTGTGGTTAAGAAAATGTCATCTCGTGCCTTTGGGTGGGGTGAAAATATCAAGTGGTGACTTGTTTCTCTCCCTACTAATGAGGGATAAATTACTCTCTGTGCTTTACATTAGTGTCATACTTTAACCTTCAGTAATACTGGTTGCTAAATCAGTGAAATGGTCCATTGTTGTCTATTCTTGTAAGAGACAAAAAGGGAAATCACTAAGTTTTTTTTTTTTATAGTCCAGCATAACTAAGCCAAAGTGAATTATGATGCACTATGAGGAGGATGTTCTACTGTTATGCGCACAAGTAAAATAAACAATCCTAAAAGTCTGTTGTATGGCTGTGTGGTTACTTTGTTATTCAGCGATGAGCAAAAACAGTATTTCATGGAGCAAAGAGAATTGTAATCTGTACCCAAAATGCTTTTAATTAAGCAGTACTGAAGTATAGTTTGTTGGACACATTATTCTCTCTGTATGGAAATAACTTTACAGATGGTAAGTTTTAGGAGCACTTTATATCAATCCTAATTCAATATTTATCTAAAGAGAAATTAAAGTGTGTTTGAGGGGCAGATCTGATCATGTGCAGCACTATAAACCATTCATATATTTTCTCAGACTACCGAATGACGTAAGACTCCGATGATGTGTGATTTCATTACCTGAGTAGCAAAATAACACCGGTGGATTTATTATTGTTGCGTCTCCTCTGTGCGCCGAGCGTCCTGCGTCCGCGGCTCTGATTGGCCGGCCGGGTGAGAGCTCCACAGCGCCGCGCCGCTCCGGGATCCTCTGGCGCAGAGAGAAAGCGCAGCTTTGGCCGCCAGCGAGCACCTACTCGGGCTGGGAGGGCAGATAATGTGATGTGATCCAATACGGGCGGCCGGCTGCAGCTACGGGGCGGACTGGCACTTAAAAGCGTCTGTCGACCTCGGCCCTGCTCACTACTGTGTGTGTCGTCGTGGGAGCGGAGGCGCAGAAGCCCGGAGGCTGACCGTAAGAGCGGTGAGTGGATGTAAATAGATGCTCTCGATGGGATGCGCTCCCCTCCCAGTGCGGCAGCGGTGGTGGTGGTGCTGGTGGTGATGGGGCTGGAGAGAGAGGAGGAGAGGGATGCTGAAGATTTACTGCGTCTCACGTATCGACAGCTTTTGCTTCCGCACTATTGGCAACTCCACCTATACATCCTCGGCGGTATGGTGGATTTAAAGCTGATCTAACGCTGCTTCTGATACATCAGAGAGGGAGTTTATGGAGGGGGGCTAGATTACTCCACCCATGACATCATCGACTTTTTCAAGTTCATTTTCTCCCCAGCTCGTGCTTTCATCTGTTGCATTTCATTGGTGAGGCAGTGGGTGCAGTTGAGAGTTGAGGAGAGAGGCCTGCCATTACAGGGAGTAAGTTGATACAGGATGCTTTCCTCTGACAGGCCGAGATCTCTGTCAAGAAACGATATGATGATGAGGAATCTCCAAAGCATATTATTGACGTGAGGTGATGAGAATGTGATCTTTCATTTAGGGTGACCTTCAGGTGAAATAGTATTGTAAATACTGTAAATCTGTAGCCTCTACAAGCTGAGCAGACAGTATAAACAACTAGAGCAGATAAGGATCCTGTTTTAACACCTTGATCCAAAAATAGAGAGGGAACATTGTATTTTGTCTGTCAACAAGTTTTATTTTTATTCATCCTTTGTTTTCTTTTTTATCATGCAAGTAAATATCCAGGAAAGGACATGACTTGTATAATATCTGCTTGTTTTCTGTCATGTATACATTTTACTGTGATGCAAACAACAGGAGGAAGAGCAGCAACAGGACAAAAAAGCAGAAAAAGATTAGTTCAATGAGACATGATTGTTTTATTAGTATGCTTGTATTCTGTCCTGTGACCAGCTGCTAAAATCTCGTGCATCTTATCGTGAATGACCTCTGCTGTTAGAGAGCACAACACATTTATTGAGGAGTTTAAGTACCTCTGTGTGTTGACTGTGCCCCCACTGTCCTGCAAACTGCTGTGTCATTCTCCTCGCTTTCTCCCTCTGATAACCGTTCTCTTTTTCCCCGTCCTCCCTGCTCCCCTTGCGTCCTCTCCTCGCCCCACTTTGTTTAACTAATGGAGATCTGGCTGCATTGTCTGCTGGGGGGGTGGAGGAGGAAAGTGAAGGCCGCTATCTTTTGATCCAGTTTGTCTGCAACTCAGACGTTATTGAAAAAAAAGAATAGAAGAAAGGGACAATGGGGAGTTGAAATGCTGTTTGTTTATTACTCCTTGTCAGATTTTGGGGGGTTGTGTCAGGATGTGTAATTCGTCCTCTGAGTCATGCAACATATTTGCTGTGATTTTCAGCTTCAGTGGCTCAAGGCACAAATTGTAGGTAGCCTGGTGGAAAGCTTGTATCTCCAGCTTTTGAGGCTTTTAGCTTGGTGTTGACATGATCTTATTTTGAAAGGTTTTTTATAAGCCCCAACATTAATGAAATTAATTTGAACTGATAGACGACATATGGACATATAGTCCATCAGTTATGGGGGGGAACAAAAAATGAGGAGTTACAAGGTATTTATGTGACAATATAAGCTGGTATTCAGATGAGGCCGCACGCTTCAGTGCAGGTAGTTTGTACCTGTTGAAGGTGTGTGTCTGAGTCACAGGCCTGGAGCATGAGCGCAGATTCAGCACAAACAGGTTGTTGTGATTGTCTGGCTCAGTGACAGAGGGACAACAAGCCACCCCGGGAGAGGGGAGCCGATCGGGGCCCCGCATGAACAAAGTGCACTGCTCAGGGATTCTGCTGCTTCCAAAATCCTGCCTCTGTCTTTTCCCAAGATCTTGTCGTGCTTTAAAATCTGCTGCGTTTGTATTTTCCATGTTTTTCAAAAGGCGCTGATGATGACTGCAGCATTGTTTCAGGTGTATGTGTGTTTATGATTGGACAACAGGATGTTTATACATTATGCTTGCGTGCCTGGACATGTTTTTCTACCTGCGTTCAGCCGTTTAGCAGCTTTCCACGGGGTTGTAGCCAAATTAAGTAATCCAAAAACAGAAGTGACAGTGATGCAACCCATACATGCGCTGTATCTTAAGATCATAATGATTCTCTGCCACTGTCTTTGTTGCTATCCATCTGTCTGTATTCAGCATCGCAGGGATGATCCACCCAGAGATAAAAGAGACACGGCTAGCTAGTTATCAGGCACTGGCTGCCACTTCTCCTCCCCACAGACTGGCTTACTGCTCAGCCCCGGCTTTGAATGTCAGTCCTGGATGAATAAACCGAGGGTCTGACTCACTCCTAGTATCATGCAAATGCAATCCAGCTTCATCACTCTGATGCAGTGTTGTTTTCAACTCTTCAACACTGACACCTTATGTGTCAAAAGGGCACGAGGCTGGAAAAGAGTGCACCATATTGTGTATCAGCGAGAGCCCCCGAGACTGGCTGAGCCGCAACCAGAGAGAGCAAAGAGAAGGATGATTTATCGGCTTCATGTTCAGTTGTAAGATCAGAGAAATGCAAATGAGTGAGTCTCAGCTTGATGACGTCACCCCTTTGTGATGATGTCAGAGACACATCAAGAGATATAAACAAAAATGGCCAAAAATGAAAACAAAAAGTATCTAATATTTTTTGTAGTGTAATAGTTTAGTACAACATATAAGCAGACAGGCCAGAGAAACAAAGCTTTTAAAAATATACTGACCCAGTGACCAACCATTAGCCAGCCATACAGATGCAGGTGTAAAAGAAGCTTGGAAGCACAAGAAGAATGAGTGTTATTGTACTCTCACTGACCCAGAAAAAATAGTAAGCGAGGAACACTTTCTTCTCTATCTTTTCAAAAATCTATGTTTGAAAACCGTTCCTGAGCATATTCTTAGCATTAAGGCTCTGAACTTGACACGTGAGGCTAAGAAGCACAAGAACTCTGTGGGGTCCTTTTAAAATTGTATTCGGAAAGCTTTGTAGTTTTTTTACGAATCTCTCTCTCTTCATATTTACTCCTATTATTTATTTCATTCAATCTAAATGTATTTACATTTGTTTTCAGATTTACATATCATGTCAATGAAGCTCAATAAATTAAATAAAATTTGATTGAAATCATTGAAGTGACACAGTCACAGATGAAGTGGACCCAGGCCCAAAAATTTACAGACAGATATTAGCTCATCACAAATATACTGCATCATTATCTGTTGTACATATATGACTGCCAATAGGTAATAAAGAATCCTTCCAAAAACGTTATAACATACATATTTAGGTTGATTTATGGGCCTTACACACATGGCTGCCATAGCTACACAGTAGCGCTGCACTGCAAACCTTCTGCTCACTGCAATCCCCACACTCGCCATAGTCAATGAAGGAACATCAGCAGTAGTCTCCTATTCAGTAATATTTACGGTGAAACAGAAGTTACCCTCCAGTTCTGTAAGTACACTGTAGCCTACTGTTGCTCTGCATCACAGACTTAATTACACAATGTAAACACTGTTATTGTTGGGAATATAATTATTGCACAATACAACCAGATCACATATACATCCATCTGGACCTGCGTTGGTATCCTACTAGTAAGTGAAATGATGCTAAACTATAAATAAAAACGTATGCCAAGGGTATCTATTTTGGGACTACCATAAATAAAAGGGATCCAAAAATGTTATGTTGATGTAAAAGAAGAAGGATATCGTTATCGGCATCAAAAAAATCCAGCATCAGTTAGGCCTATATTGTGTAGCACATTAAGTTATACACTTGTTACATGACTTCTGACAGTGTGTGTCCTCTCTCATCAGCTCTACCACGGCAGTGTATTTCCTGTCAGCCATGATGTCAGTACAAACTCCCCCTCTCTCCCGCTCTGGGTCCTCCCCCTCTAATGTGGGTCTGGCCAATCGCAGTGCCCCCTCTGCGACCCCTCCCACCTCCCTCAGCCTTCGCTCATCATACAACCAGCTGCTTGGACGAGACATCATCAAGGAGTCCATGGAGACCGGAAGTTCGGCCACCTTGCCAAAGAGCCGTCAGAGGTACGCAATGACCAGTGTGCGGAGCGCCATGGGCATAAGTGACAACTTGGCTTTGTCTTCTAAAAACCAACCTGTAACCAGAGGGAGGGGTCTCCCCACCAAGTCCTCCTCCAGTTCTGCCCTCTACTCCTCCTCTTCCTCCTCCTCACTGTTTAATACAACCAACCCCAAACTAGCCAAGAATGGGGCTAACATGCAGAGACGAGCTGAGAGTCAGCAGCTGGAGCTGAGCAGGGCCAATACAGAGGGTAAAGTTCACAATGATGTGATCAATAACCCCAGTTCTGACTGGCTAGAGTCTGGAAAAGACAACTCACAGCTGCCCCCATTCCGTAGAAGGACCAAGAGCTTCTTAGAGTACCATGAGAAGGGCTGGGATCCAGACCTCAGTTGGGGAAACAAAGAGGACAAGGAGGAGAAGAAGCAGCAGCCTTCCCCAGAGAAGGAGCAGGCCAGCCCTGTCAAAGAGAGGGAGAGCCAGAAGGAGGAGAAGCCCAGTAGCAAGCAAAGCTGCCAGGAAGAGAAGGAGGAAGTGGAGCCAGTGGTGGAGGAGGAGGAAGAGGAAGATGACCCTACACCAACACCAAGACAGCCCCTGCTTCCTGTGGTGGTGGAAGCCCCTCTTTCCTGCTCCTCCTCCTCTTCCACCAATAGCCCAGAGTGGGTCCCAGATAACCAGAACCAGGCTCCAGCCCAGGTCCGAGAGGAGCTCTGTGCTCCGGTTCAGGCTAATCCACGCAGTCCTGCAAAACCACCTAGGAGCTCCCAGCCCCGGGTGATCAAGGTGGAGCTACACCCAAACAACGAGAATCAGTTCCTGCAACAGTACCCACCTTCTTCTCCTAAACAGGCCCGGGCTGCGGAGAGGAACACGCCTACAAGGAGCCGGGCACCCCCTGCCCTGCCAGATCCTGAACCAGAGACTGGGCTCCCTAAAGTGGGTTTAAGAATGGATCTGACTCCTGACACTCCATCAGAGGATGAAGACTCCAGCTGGACCACCCTGTCTCAGGAGACGCCCTCTCCTCAGACTCCACGGGAGACAGGTGTGTGTGTTTGTCTTTTCATCTGATCTTTCTTTAAAACAAAATAGCACCTCTTTGTCAGCCTTTAATCTCGCCTCTGTTACACCCTCCTTTCACTCTCCCACTTTCTCTCTCCCTCCCTCTACCTCCTACAGACTATATGATCTGGAAATTTACCAAAAGCCTCTTCTTTAGCAAACAAGTCACTCCGGCAATACTGCTGGAACCTTTAAGGCCCCTGTGAGCCACCTTATGGCGCAGAGAGTCATTAGGATGGACAGAAGGATAGGATACTGCAGATAGAAGGGCGTGAAAGAGGAAGGAAAAAGGAAAGAGAAAAGAGCAGAGCTGGATTTAGTAAGAGATGATTGCCTTGGATGTAAGGCACAAAGCAACAGTCGGAGAATAAGAGGGTATGGAGGAAAATATAAGAAGGCAGACAGGGAAAGGAAAACCAGAAGAGTGAGGGAGGGAGAGATGTTGATGCCCATTGGGTCCTACTACAGGGGATGAGCCCCGGAGTTGCTATGACAACTGCAAATAAGTAGGGACAGGCTGACCATCTCTGAAATGTATCCTGTCCATCCCTGTTGTGTGTGTGTGTGTGTGTGTGTGTGTGTATGTGTGTGTATGTGCATATGTCATGATCATATGTGTTTTTGCAGAGCCCGCCTGTGTGTAGGCATGCATATGTATGTTTGTGTGATACACTCACATGCAATATGTGTTTGTGTATCGCTGTTATCCATCAGCAGATGTATGGGGTGATGGGGACCTGCCCCCAGGCTGGCGGGAGATATCAGACTCATCAGAGGTCTATTTCTGGCACGTCCCCACCGGCACTACACAGTACCACCGACCTGTTGCCTCAGGCAACCAACACACCTCTCCCGACATTGAGCCAGACACTGAAAATGACCCACAACAGGAATCGCAGGGCTCCCTCAAGCCACCCAACGAGGTGACAAGACCCACAGACTAAACACACCTTGTGGTCAAACATATTTATATTTCACTTGTGTGTACAAAGTGTAAAATTAGTATGATTAAAGGTTCTACGATCAGCAAACAAACTGATTTATATAGAGATGCTTTACAAAAAGGTGTGTTCAGTGTTTTTTTTTGTGCAGATATGTAAAGCATATCTGAGGAAATAATTTTTTTTTCTCAGATATGTTTGGCACATTTACAGCAACTACAATTGCAAAGCTATCCATTAATGATTAAAAACACTTTCTTCAGCTTTGGATACAAGGTCAAATTCTGAATTCCTGGAAAAGTTTTACTAATATGACCTGAAAACTCCTAATAATAAACTAATTAGCAAACACATTTATTAATAAAGTTCAATCTTAATGTTGAGAATAGTAGTTGGACAAAACAATCTTAACTCAAGGTCCTGGGTTTTAACCACATGTAAACAAATGTTTCAGTGATTGAAAGCCCTGGAGAAGCGAAAGTAAGTGGACCTTGAGTTAAGATTTTTTTTGTGTAGCTGTGGTAAGGGAGGAACCTCCAATATATCAAAGGTTGACACTATAACTGACAAATATACAATCTTTGTCTATTAGAAAGTTGTTGGTGATCAATGATGTACCCGCCATTGTCTGTTTGTCTCTCTATCTTTATCTGTCTCTCTCTCTCTCTCTCCCACAGCGCCCCAGCAGTCTGATATCTGACAGCTCGGTGGAGCCGGTCCCCTCCCCCTCTGGCTCCTCCCCCTCCTCCTCCTCCACCCCCTCCAATGATGTCACCTCGTCTGGACCAAATCTCAACATCTCCACCTGTGTAGCCAACGTGAGACAAAGAGTCACATTTATTTGGGTGTTCACTCGTTGAAACCGTCACTCTCTGTAGAAGTTCATATACGTTTTTGTGGGTTTTATTGATTCAATTTGGTCTAAATGGGAATGTAGGGAATGGAAAGTGTGCTTTAAATAAAAATCCTTTATTGTTATCAGCAAGAAAATACAGCTTTGGCTCATCTGAGTAACATTTAGCGTAGCTTCTTTAGCCTGCATATCATTATATGTCTGCTTTCACTGCTGCATTTATTAGATTGAAATGAGCACACAGTAATATCTGTCCAGGTCAGCCTGAAGTACATATTCAACAAAGATGAATATCTCTCATATGAAGTTAAAATGAGTGTTATCCTCTTCGGTTATTACAAAGCAAAAAGATCAAATAAGTTGGCAAAATGGATATTAGAATCTGCCAGTGTCAGTGTCTGCTAATGTCTCTTTCTGAATGTCTGTCTGTCTGTTGTGCTTCAGGAGCTAAAGGACTATCCAGTCTACCCCGATCCCAGTCTTAAGGCGTTTGAGGGAGCCACCCTCCGCTATGCTTCACTTAAACTCAAGTAACAACACACATACTCTAAAGTAGAGAAATATGTATAATTTATAGTTTTTCCAATAGATTTGTGGAGCAAGGCCTGAGCCATGATGTTTTTTTACTTTACTGTGACTATTCCTCATGTCTGATGTGCTTCTGCAGCCCGCCAGCCCAGCTAGAGACAGTGGACCTCAACAATACCTTCTCTGATCCAGAGGCAATGGTAAGATGATAACAAGAACATATAACAACAACATGCTTAACACTTGAGTATGAGATAACTTTGTGACCAAGAACAATCATCTGCTGGGATTTTTTACTGGATAAATTATAAATATATTAATTTCTAATGGCTGTACAGTGTCACAGTTTGCAGATTTATATACAGCAGACAGGCACCCTTATATATGACATTTGTTCATGGACACACAGTCAGGACAAAATCACAATTAAAGGCAAGAGCTCCAGATTATGTGTAACCAAGGATTCAAATATTTCCACAAAGTTATAAGCCAGTGTGCTGAGTAACCATGAACCCAAATACTATTCAGATACTACTCAGTATACCACCTATACATGATTATAACAATTGATGAGAACATATTCCTCTGTTATTTAGTCAGTCTGACCTTATTTGTAGCCTGATAGCCTTTCAGGAAATCGTGTATTTGTTGATGAAGGGAGATCACCAGGCTTTGTTTGCAATGATGTAATGAACCTGCTCACTGGCATCCTGTCCTCTTTCTCTCTCTCTGTCTTTCTCTCTGTTTGCTGCAGCGCCACTCAGTGGTTACTTTGTGAACTGAGCTCTGCTGAATTTGTTTAAAGCCAAACGTTTAGCATATAGAAAGGCTCAACCAGCAGACGTGTGGATGGATGATCACAATGAAAGTAGGAGCAGATAGATGAAGGAGCTGAGGAATGAAGAATCTTTCTGGTTAGGTCTGGAAAAAGACAAGACGGGAACCACAACAAAAAATGAAAACTGGGAAGCTGGATGGAAGTGGTCGGTCTGACATTTTTGGACCTCTTCGATAGTAAACGAATTTCACCATTATTGTAAAGGACATATTTAATTAATCCAACATACAGTAGTAATGATACAATATGGGATGATATTTTAGATTCCAAAACCAAAGTATCATTTAAGTTTTATTATTGTCCTTTTTCCAAAAAGAACAAACTTAAATCACAAAGGACAGAAAAGGAGACTTTTCAGATTTAAGTGAAAGAGAGGCTTGAGATCTCAGAGGAACCCAGAAACACTGGGGATAAGTGTGGGAATTCAGATATGATCTCAGAATGTGTGAAAGTTTAATGAGGAAGTAACCAAGAGAGAATAATATGGTCAGTGGCAGAGAGAGGGATGATGTGTGATTGTGTGTGCATGTTTGCTCGACACTGTTACAGGGATTGTATCCTGAGGTTTTTTTCAGCGGAGAAGAGCGAGAGTTGTGGTAGAAAGAAAGAAAGATAAAGGGTTAAAGGAAGAGAGGATAGAGGATAGAATAGCTGCTGGCCTGAGGCAGTCTACTCACACACACACCAAGTCTTTCATATTTCATGTGTTGTCTTCCCCAATCAAACCTCTCTCAGTTATTGCTCTGATGGCTGGCTTGCGATGGTACAGTAGCTGTCACTGAATACTCTACTGTACCTCTGTGAGCAAGAACAGGAACTTTGTTTGAGTTACTGTTTGTTAGTATGTGGGTACTTGGGTTGCATTTAATTTAGAATTTAAATTATGTGAAGACTGAGTTGATATGTTTAAAGGAAAATTTCAATTCAATTAAACTCGGATCTTATTTTTGTACATTTGGTACAACATATAACATCAGTTATGGTGACAATCTACTTACCAGATTAACTACAAAATCACTGAAGGGGGTGTTAAAAATTGCGAGGGGGCAATTATTTTCCATAAAATAAAATTAATTGATTTAAGCCTGCAATAGCCTCAGAAAGGCTAAATAACAGTAACATAAGGCTACTGTTTCAAAATCAAATAATACCTTTTTTTATCGTAGCACATAAGAATGTAGCACTAGCAGAGCACTGAATATTTATTGATCTTTTGAATTATTCTCATGATGTCAAAATCACCAGTTTGCGACTTGCAGCTCTCTCTTACTGGTTGACTGTCCCTTCACGTCCCTATCACCCAAGCACAACCAACAACACTGTCCAACGTTCTGAAACAACAACTAAGCGATAGTCTTTTTGCTATTTGTCTAGTGATTCATAAAGCTTAAGCAGAAGGGGCACACAAAAAAACTGAAGGGGACAAACCCCCTTTAAGACCCCTCAGGGCCAGGCCTGGACAGTGGTGACATTGCTGTAAAGAAATTCAACAGGTCAAAAACCTTGAATTATCAGAGGATCAGGCAGGTTTTAAACAAACAGATTAGCCGAACTTTTCTTTGAGAGAATAAACGTTAAATTATTACCCAGACTGTTCATCATCTATCACGGTTGACAGTCTTGTTTCAACTTTGACCTAACTTACTTGCCCTAATCCTGCACACACTGTTTTCCACGCAATTAAGTACTATAACAACATTTTGGGTGACATTATTGCCTTTAAAAGTAGATTATTATTTATTAAAGTGTGTTATTTATTACAAAGTGTTTTTTGATAATCTGGCTGAACTTTGGCTTGTTTATAACTTTTCTACTTGTCTGACTAGTCTTGTTTTTTGCCCCCTGAGACTTTATTGAATCAGTGACGCCCTGTTATGCAATCTTACCAGTTATTTTGGTGGGCACAGTGATATAACCAACAAAATGATAAGACCTGAGTTTAATTATCCCTTAAGGATAAAGGTTAGGGAAGGATATAGAGTCAAAGGAATATTGTGATTCCTTAAGTTTAACAAAACAAATGTGTGTTGTGTTTCTTCCAGTCATTTCCAGTGCGATCTCTGGGCTGGGTGGAGATGGCAGAACAGGACCTGTGTGAGGGGAGGAGCAGCGTGGCCGTCCATCACTGTATCAGACAGCTGTCCTACTGCAGGAGGGACATACGAGACTCGGCCGGTGTCTGGGGAGAGGTCAGTGTGTCAGCAGAGGCAGACAGTTACATGCAATATACAGTATGTATACCAGAGAGGGTTTCTTTCTTGACCTTTTGGCTTGTGAGTGAAGCACAACATGTTATATTTTGCATGTCTCGCAAGTTCAGCCACAGAGTGATTTGTCTTCTCATTTTAAACGGTTTCTGTAGAAGAACTATGTTTAATGCTTTTGCAACCCGGTGGGGGGTCCGGCCCCTCCAGATTGTGAGCACAAGCTGTAGCTATTGTTTGTGGTCTTACAGGGTAAAGGGATGCTCTTAGTGCTTCAAGACCGCATGTTGACCCTGGTTGACCCAGACGATCGCAGCCTGCTCCACTCTCAGCCAATCAGTAGCATCCGTGTCTGGGGCGTCGGCCGAGACCACGACAGGTAGGACACCTTCTATGACACCTTTCTTTTGTCGTTGTTGCTTGGCCAGTATGCTTTAGTTTCAGCAATTACAGATGTATTATGTCTTCTTGAATTTGAATGAGAACACACAAACATGTAAATCATGTTACAAACACACATAACAAACACACAGCATGTACAGTAACAAACTATAAAATGCATGTGTGGAACATTCTTGCTGTTAGAAGCTGATTCAGGAGTTTCAACTAATCATCGGAGAATAAAATGAACCTCATTATTATTCAGTGCATATTTGCACAAACTGCATTCAAAACCCCATAATTATGCTCATTGCTCCGTGTTTCTGTTCCAAACTGAGGCCCTATGGGGCCTTCAGTCATTTGGCAATGTCCCATGGTCTTAACCTTTCGCTATTGAGCTGACAGTGTGCTGAGGCTAGCATGGCTGCTAATGGGGATGGGGGCTATGTGTGCTCATTGATATGGGCACCTCAGGGTTTCCATTAACCCTTCAAACACAACCACCTACACACATCTGGAAACACAAGTGTTGATGTAATATACATACGCACATAGATTTAATATGTATGAGACATGTAGTATTATTTGAGTGTGTGTATATACCATATATATATATATATATATATATAAAAGCTTAACATATACACATGCCATCCTGACACCAGTGTAGATATCTTGTAAAAAATCTCTCTCTAAAAGCTAAGAGACTTTGGGAGATTCACTTTGGAGACATGTCACACAATGACCGTACAAATGAGAAGAGTGGTGGAGGTTTGCACTGCAAGGAACTGTCTGGTCCTGACATGTGTAATCAGCTGTTAAGGAATTGAGTGAAAATGGAGTTTAAAATAGCATCTGTATAAAAGGCTTGATCTCACTTCGCCTGCCCAAACTCGCAGTGTCTTGTTACCTTTTTATTTCTCTTCTCCTGTCTCTGTGTCTTTCTACACTGTTTTTTTTTTTATGACGTTTTCTTTGTGCTGCCATATTCTCTGTCACACACAGGGATGCTGTGGGATGCACCCTCCCACTCTTCTTCTCTCTCTCCTGTCTTTCTCTTTTTTTCCTTCCCTTCAACAGTAACACCACCACAACATTAGCTGTGTGTGTGTGTGTGTGTGGTGGTGTGTCGTGTGTGTGTGTGTGTGTGTGATAGATAAAACGAGGGAAAGAAAGAAAGAGATTCCCTCCACCCTCTTCCGTCTCAGAGGATTGAGAAACTTTTCAGTGGCTGTCTCTCTCAGCGGTAATGGATAAAGCATGTAGTCGAAAGAAGAGGGAAGGGTCGGCTCAGGCAAGCTCTCCCTCTTATCCTTATTTTCTCTCACTCGATCTATCTCTCTCTCTCCCTCTCTCTCCTACAGCATTACAGCTTCCACTCTGTTCATCCTCTGCTCCCACCAGCACTTTAAAATCTGCAGCGTACAGTCTGTACTCATCTGTTTGGTTTCAGGCTCATGACTTTGAATGAACTATAATTCCACCCTGGATGGGAGTGTGTATGACTTAGAAGATATTTGATGCTCTGAGACCACAATGCACTTCCCATATATGCAGTAAATTATTTTATACTATCCCACAGTTGAAGGGGGATAGTGTGCGTGCGTGTGTTTTTCTGAGACAAGAACATATTTCACCAGAGGTTGAAATAGCTTACTCTGGCCACTAGAGTGCACTATACTCAAAGTCTGCATCCTGAGAAGCTTATATAGTGACACTGAATACACGTACACCGATCAGCCATAACATCATGTCCACCAGGGTGTTCCATACCAACAAACTGTGATGTGTTCTGACACCTTTCTATCAGAACCAGCATTAACTTTTTCAGCAGTTTGAGCTACAGTAGCTTTTCTTTTTGGATCAGACCACATGGCCCAGTCTTCACTCCCCACATACATGAATAGCCATGGCCCTGTCTTCTTCCTTTGCTACCCCTTTATTGATAGGTACTGACACTGCAAGACGGGAACACCCCACAAGAAGCTGCAGGTTTTGGAGATACTCAGATTCAAGTCGTCTAGTCATCACATTGTGGCTCTTGTCAAAATCGCTCAAATTCCTCACGCTGCCCATTTTTCCTGCTTCTAACACATCAACTTTGAGGACAAAATTTGAACTTGCTGCCTAATATATCCCACCCACTGACAAGTGTCATGATAATCAGTGTTATTCACTTCACCTGTCAGTGCTTATAATGTTATCGCTGATCAGTGTAAGTATGTAGACACCTCTGTCCATGTGTACTTTTGGTCTGGAGTTGTTTTTCATGATTGGAGCAAACCCCTTAGCATAATTGGATCTTTTGATTTCCAACCTCTCATTAATGTTATGTATGTTCAGGATAGATACAGGATATACTCTATAGTGTGTTTTCTCAACTGGTGGGCTGAGAGTCTCGGAGTGTGTGTGGTCAAAAATACAAATAAATGCTCAGTTATCTGATGTCTGACAGAAAAACTTCCACAAATGGCTGTTAAGTGAAAACAGCCCATTTTGTGGGCCTTACTTATTTTATGTATAAACACAGTGATGCGATTATTATGTTAATTTTATTTATATTCATAAGAATCAGCAGCAAACAGTTGTGATGTTCATAGTGTATTACTGGTGTACTGTGCTCTGATTGCAGATATGAAAAAATGTCTATATTTTATGTAAAAATATCATGATGACAGTGTTTATATGTTTACTAGCCTATTTGAAAAATACATTTGCTTGGTTTGAATTCTGTAAAAATGGGTCACGATTTAAAAACCATGGGAAGATATTGGTCCCAAGTTGAGAGCAGATGAGAACCACTGCTCTAAAGAAACACATCTGCTTATCTGTAACATTTTTGGGGGAAACGAGAAGACTGAATAGATTAAGCCTGGCTTGAGTTTTGTGTGTTTGTAGTGACCCATGTGGTGGAGTTGTCTGGACTGTTCTGCACTTGTGTTAGGAGACGATCATTATATTATTGGTATAATTCCTGATGTGTAGGTGGGTTTATTTCTAGCCACGAGACTCATTGTATGTTAGTGAATGAAATCTGAAATATATTATAGTTTATTTTATTATTATGATTATTGTTTCTCTCTGTATTATTATTTAATACGCGTGTGGTCTTTATATGAGTTGGCTCTGGCATTTATAGTGAGTCATGAGTCGATTCTTTTAAACTTGTCGCTTGGTGTGTCTGCCGAGGGCTGGTGCAGTGATAGTGGACTGAGAGGGTGCTGTCATCTTGGTTGGTCTGTGTTGTTAGGTTCCTCTAATTATGTGGATTTTGTTTTCTTCTTTTCCTTTTAAAAAAATAAAACTAAAACAAATCTCGTGTGGAAGAACTTGACTGTTCAGGAAACAGCCTTGACCTCAACCCCATCCAGCACCTTTGGGGATTAAACAATTCATCACCCCTGATTGGGAGCAAATCCCTGCAGCCAGGTTCATAAATCTGGATTGGAGGCTGTTATAGAAACATATTAATGGATTAATGGTTTTGGAGTGAGATCCTGAACAATCAAACATGGTTGTAAAATGTGCTTTTCCACATACTTTGCACTCACAGTGTCTACTCACTCATTCACACTGTGTAGTGTGTGACTAATCGTAGCTAATTGACTGAAGCTGTTAGACGCTGATGGGCAGGAAGAAAAAAAGAAAGACACCTTTCTGAATTATGTAAAGGAAAGAGGGTGAAAAAAGGGGGAAAGAAAGGGAGCACAGAATTTATACAAGATAGCTAAAGAAAGGGAAGGAGTGAAATAGAGACAGAGATGTTTTGAATGCATGGAGGGCTCTCTTTCCGTCTCCTGTCTCTTTCTCTATCCATCTATCTGAGGAATATTCCCAGTCTTGTCCTGAATATTCTCTCTCTCTTCTTCAGCTTGATTCAATATGAATGAGCCCTCTTGTCTCTTAAGCGGGGCGGGACAAAGGGTGGTTGGTGGGGGGGGGGTTAGCTTCTCGATGAAGTCATGAAGCTATATCTGGAGCACTCAGCAAGTCCAACTATGTGCACACCCGTGTGTGCGCGTACACATGTTTGCATGTGTGTATGTGTCTGCACGTGGGCTTGAATTGATGAGGTCATGGGTCTATATCTGGAGCACTCTGTTGGTGTGTGATGGTGAATGAGTGGGTGTGCCTGTGTTTCCCCCCCCACCCGACTTCTCCATCTCCTTTTTCTGTCTGTAATGCTCTTGCGCTATTTCTACTCTTTGTCTCCAGCGGTCTTTCTGCCTCCCTCTTGTGCCATTGGCTGCACAGCTTTGCCTCTTCTTCTTTCTGCCTCTCTTTGTTTGTCCCGTCGTTGCACTTTAGCGCCGTGTAAGCCTTCCCTTTTTTTCAGCTTCAGTAAGACAAGACAGGGAGAGACAAAGATAGCAGCAACTGAGGAAGAGGAGAAGATACTCAAACAGGGAGAGCACGGGGGGGAAAGCAAGAGTGGCAGTGCTTTTGAGAGAGAGTGAGATATAAACAGAGCGATGGAGAGCCAGTGAAGGAGGAAGAGGCAGTGCATGCTTCCCTGCTTGCACTAAGCAGGACACAGGAGGACTTTGCAGGACACTCTTTGGACCAGGCAAGCGAAGCGAAGAAAGCCAACCGTAGAGGAAGATAGGGGAAGAAAAGGTGTAGCAGAAGGGAAGAGAAGGAGGAGGAGGAGGAGGAGGAGGAGAGGGAGACGCAGGGGGAGGGGAAGGAAAGAGGGAGAGAGGAAGAGGAAAAGGAGCCTCAGAGGATAAAAAAAAAGGAAGAAGAAAAAGAGAGGAGGCAGACGGGAAGAGATTTACCCCCGGGTACCGCGGCGAAGGGCTGTAGCAATGTCACCGTGGCAGAGGAGCTAACGAGGCAGGGAAGTAGTCGTCTGTAACGGGGCGAGCATGTCTGGCTGTGTGAGTACCCCTATCTCTTATTCATTCACTCCTCTAGCTCTCCTCATCCATCCTCTTCACTTACAGTCATCCATTATTGCCTCTCTTTCTCTCTCAACATTACCCCCGTCTTTCTCCT